TAGCGGTAATATGGAGTGAGTTTTGTTCCATTATTTTTGCAAACATAGAAAGCATTTTAATAAATAATGTTATACAGAAGCTATAAAAAGCTTAATAAAAAAAGAAAAGGTTTTAAAATATCTTTGAGTTTTTTGGATTTCATTTTAATATTTTAATCATTTTTTTTTTATTTTCAAAAATTATTTTTCACATTTTATAATTTTTTTTTTATCAAATTGCAGTATTTTTAAAATTTGTTTTACAGATTAATTCTCGTCTGGAGTGAGGAACGAAAACGCATTTTTATTGGCCCGCTGGATGTTAGCAACAGCATTGCGTTATTGAAGAGCTAGCCTTAGTATCGGGCTTGAAGTGCAGAGAATGCGATCTGTAAAATGCCTTATGAGTTTGAAAAACTTAATCTGAAAAGAGAAATTTAATAAATATATATACAAAAATTGTAAAATATTAATTGTAAAAAAAGAAAGTGAGAGAAAGGCAAATGTACTCTCAAAAGTCTTTTTGATGTTTTTCAAAGTTTTATTACAGGATTGTACTTTTTACAATTTCCATTCACAAAACAAGTTCCATTATTGATGCAACAATAATGGAGCAAAATTCACTCCATTGATATTGTCTAAAATCAGCAGTTGTCAGGAAGAATAACTGATTTATAGCTGAAATTAACACAAAACTCTTTAAATATAAACTATCAATGTAAAATATGAAACCAAAACAAAGATTATTTGTATTTATATTTAAATATATATACAATTATAGTATATTTATTATTTTTTTTTTTTACATCCTTTGCCATTTGTGATTGATTTATGGGTTTTTCTATATTCCTAATGTTTATTTAGAAATGTTCAATAATTACTAAAGCATCTTTTTTAATCATAAAGATAATCGATAGATGAATCAATTCCTAAAATAAATTCTGGATGACGCCCTAAAAGTCTCAGGGTTGGTTGTTCCTTTAGGCATGGAGCTGAATAGCAGTAAAATATCTCTTAATATTCCTAAACTGGCCTTAAAAATCTCCTTAAACTCTGATCGTTAATCTTTTCCCACCATATTTCTTCCTTCCAGACAATTTTCCACTAATATCTTTGTACTCAGCTCTCTAGGAGCAGCAGGGTTCTTTGGTTATGACCTTTTTTGGGGAGTCAGTTGCTGAACATTAATGGATGATCGTAACATTTCTGATTGATTTTTTCATTAGCAGCAATAATAATAAAGCCTTGAACGCGACACTGTGAACAGAAACTATAAATAATCTCTTCTTGAATTAAATTTACTAGAACAAACAGGTTTATGATTTTCTATTTTATCGACATGCAGAATGACGTCAACTTGGAATTTCTGTCAAGTTTCTGGAATCCAGAAATCCGTTTTTAATCTCAGAGTTGTCGTCCTTCTCCTCCTCCTCAGGTTCGGAGTGAAGAGGAAGCCCGTCTACATCAACCTGATCAGGGACCCCATCGAGAGGCTGGTGTCTTATTATTACTTCCTACGTTTTGGGGACGACTACAGACCTGGGCTGAGACGCAGGAAACAAGGAGATAAGAAGGTTTAAAAATAAACGAGTCAAAAACGCTGATGCTGCTTTTTTCTCACTGGAAAAAACATCTAGAAATAATTAAAAATGACTTAAATTAGGTGTATTTACCCTTAACTTGAGTTAATGAGGTAGTTTGCCAATGGAATGAGTATTTTTACTCTTAAAATAAGATAATTGGATAAAATGCACTTAAAATAAGACAATACAATTGTTTCTTCTTATTTTAAGTTTAAATTGTCTTGTTCCATTGGCAAAATGTCTGTTTTAACAAATGGACTTATTTTAAGAAAATACATTTGTAAAATAAATATTTCCAAATAAAATATTTATTTAACAAACTAAACATTTAGTTTGTAGCTAAAAAAAAAAAAAAAAAAAAAAAAAAAAAAA